TTTAGCTGAGCCATCCTGCCACCTGTTGGCAGCTCAGCTCGGGCCGGGAATCAAACCGGCGACCCTGTTGCTCAGAGCTCGCACTCTTGAGTGAGCTCCTAACCCACTGAGCCACTCAGCGGGCCCTGTAATGCATATTTATTAAAGAAAACTTTAAAAATCAAGAAAAGTAATAACAAGAAAAATCCCACCCTGGCTCCCACATGTAGATTTTTAAAAACTTAGGTGACATCACTCAGGAAGACATAGTTTAGCAGAAGCGTATTAAGTGTATAATTCTATTTGAAGTTTTTAAAACTTAGTACATTTGCTTTCTTACAGGAAGGTAGACTTTTCAATGGTCATTGTATTGTTTGACACCATATTCTTGCTCATTAGATTGTTGTAGTGTTTCTGTGAACAACTTTTTATACATTGAGTTTTCTTTTGGTTTAAATATTTGAACACATTCCTCCAAGTACAGAATATACACAGTTTTAGAGCTCTGATCACACTGCTTTCTGGGTAGATCAAGGAGCTTTCCGGGCCAGTGACCGCCCGTTCTTCAGTGTCCTTGCCAATTTTTCAAAACAGCATTTTGTTTCCTAGTTTAATAGTTGCTTTAATGAACATTTTTAAAGTAACTTAGTAAGGCCAGGGCTTCCCCTGAGGGAGTCTTGTTTTTTCTCATTTAAACTTGGAATCACTTGACCACTCGTCACAGTAATTTCTCATATGAAAAAGATGTAGACCAGGCAAGTTAAGTGACAGATGGCTCATGGCCAGGGGCAGAATTGGAAGGAGAATCTGGTTCCTTTCTGCCATGTCTCTCACATCTTAACCACAGAGAAGTGGCGTTTGGGATCCTTTAGTGCAGTCCTCCTCTCCCCGCCATCCTCTGGCCGTGTTGGGTTCGGGGATCCTGCCTCTGCAGCATTCTAGATAAATGGTGATTTCTAAACTTGCCATCTCCTGGGGCAGCCTAAAACATCTTGAAGATCAATGTAAGGGGTAGAAAAAAATCCCCATGATTCATCCATCCAACAGACAGTTATTGAGTGCCTACGAGGGCCGGAATGGGAAGCCCAGGAGCTGGGAACACAGCAGAGAGCCTGCAGAGGCCCTGTGTCCATGACCTTTACGTTTTCTCGTGATCTGAAATCGGCTCCAGTCACCAAACCTAGCTCTGTGCCTACAAGCAAGACAGAAGCAGTGTGCTCCCTCCTCACGCAGGCCCTGTAGATACTTGAAGACATGTCCCCTCTCCCACCTGAACATTCCCAGTGCCTTCCCCTGTTCCTCCCATGACATAATTCATCAAAATGCCTTTTATCATTTTACCCAAGGGATACAGGAAACGAAAATTCAGATACACAAGAAGAGGAAAATGAAAATGACCCATAATCCTACCAGTCAGTCAGTCCATTCTCTCAGTTTGTTTTCCGAATAAATTTCTTTTTCTTTTTCTAAGACTAGGACAGTTTGTTTGCCACAGGCTGCTTTTTTCTCAGTGGTGTGACATGAGCATCCTTTCATGTCATCGGATGTTTTTCTACAGTTTTATCTTAAATTCTTATGTCACAGACCATGTAAACCATAATGCAGTCACCTGCCTGCCCTCTTGTCCAATGTTAGCTTGTTTCTAACATTTCACCAGGAAAAACATGCTCCAGTTAACTCCCTTGCAGCTAACTCTTTATACAAATCTACATTCATTTCCTTAATTTTAAAACCCAAAGGTAGAATTGGCTGGGAGAAAGGATTCAGACTCGTCTAAGGTTTGGGCTATATATTTCTGGATTGCCCTTCCAAGAGTGCCATCGATAGTATAGTCACAAAGCCCTGCCCATGTTGGTCGCCTTGTCCTAGGAGAGCTGCAGACTGCTGCCGTCCTGTCCCTCCGAGTGGCACCAAGACTGGGTGCCTCCTGCAGGTGCAGCCTGACCAGGGTGCCTCCTCTCCCTCTCCTGGTCCTGAACCCTGTTTTCTCTGCAAGTAAAGCTGCTGAAGTTGTAGCGAGTTCTTGGCCCACTCATCCCATGTCTGCTGTGGTTCTAAGTTGTGGAGTGCGTTAGCCATGCTCCTTGATTTCCCCAGATGTCTGTAACCTGTACTTTCTCCTCTGTTTAGACCTGGGCCTAGGCTCTCTAAAGGTGCCTAAAGAGGCTGACGAAGGAGGCAGGGCCACCTCTGGGAGTGCAAGGAAAGGAAAGCGGCAGCACACTTCCCCTCAAAACCCACTTCTGGATTGCAGCCTCTGTGGGAAGGTGTTCAGCAGCGCCAGTTCTCTTAGCAAGCACTACCTGACGCACAGCCAGGAAAGGAAACACGTTTGCAAAGTCTGCAGCAAAGCCTTTAAGCGTCAGGACCACCTGTATGTAGGAGTCTGGTCTGGAAACATCTGTTCGGGGAGGCTGGTGGGGAGTGGGCATGTTGCTGTGTCTCTTCCATCCCCTTCCAGATCAACCCGTCCCACCCGCTGTTGGGTTTTCCCACCTCCATGTTCCCCAGGTGGCTGTTACCTGTGCTTATCCTCAGCTGATGTTCTTCTCACACTGCCAATGCTCTGGGGCAGGGCTAGCACTGCCCTGGATGGGTCACTCTTCTGAGCCCCCAAATTCACACACTGCTATGATTTGCAGCTGGGACCCTTATGGTTTAAAGACACATCATGGCTCCCTCCTGAGGCAATTCTGACTTGGAGGGATTTGGGCTAACTGTGGGGAAATATTCAGAGTCCCTGGTGGGTGTCTGAGGAGAATGGATCTATGTGCCATGAGGAATATGTGTTGGGAGAGCTCGGGGCATGAGAGTTTCTGAAATGCCTGTTTCAAGAACATGGCAACCAATGGAGCATTAACTCTTGTTTCTCTTTCCCTTCTTTAAAAAAACAAAACAAAAAAACCTCTTGATTGTTTTTTAAACTCTTAATTTTAAAAAGAAAGTCCATTATAAGAGTCAGGAGCAGAATTCCCTTTATTCTTAATGTCTTAGAAATGCTAAGCTCCTCTTGCTCATAAGAAAAGAAAGGCAGACTGTTTTCAAACCGAGACTTGCAGGAGTTGACAAACCCTTCCATTTGCACAGCTCTCCTGACCTTTACCGAGGGCTTTGATTGATCTCAATTTCACCTTGTCCTCTCGCCCACCCCACCCCAGGGGAAGGAAGTAATTTGCTCCTGTCACATACTGGTAACAGGGTTAGAAATGGGGTTTCCGGGTTCCTTCTCTGCTGCTTCCCTCAAAGGGAGTCCAAGGGCTTTATTATTTGTTGGACATACCCCACGTGCCACATTTAGATCTGTCCAGAGTAGGACTGTTGGGAACCCAGAGGGAGATTTACTCGCTTGTTTATATTTATAACATATTAATGTAGATATAAGTATGATATAAGCAATACATATTTGTATCCATTCATATTTTCAGAAATTATAGGCATATTGGCT